AGCTGTAGCTCAGAGGACAGAGGCAGACCCACGCCCCAGCCCGCAGCCCACAGCCACAGGCAGCGAGCCCACGACGGCAGGTGCAGCGCCTGGAAAGCTGACGGTGTTACGAGCGCAGGGAAGGGCGATGGGTCCAGTCCCCGGAACCAGGGAGGAGTGTCGCAGAGGAGTTAGCTCCGAAGGATACGTAACAGGTGAGTGAGCCTGGGGGTGAGGACCGGACTCTGGAGAGAAAGACCCGGGTGAGGGTGCCCTCGAGTGGTACCATGGATGCTCTGAGACAAAGGCAGACGCACGGGATGGTGGCAGGTTGTGGAGGCTCCTCAGCACTTTCTGAGAAAGCTGGGGTTCTTCTGCTGGTCAGTCAACAGCCACTCGGGGTGTGAGGACTAAGGAGAGACCAGATCTGCCTGCAGATGTGGTGTGTTTCAGAATGATCAGTGAATTCTGGTCTCGGGGGAGGGCAGGCAGGCTTGACAACAGCAAGACCACGAAGGGTTGGGGTCACAGTCCCGTCTCCAGCTCGGACCCCTGCTCCTCCCCAGCCGCTGTCCTGACTCACTGGCATTGCAGCTGCTGTCGCTCACAGCGGCCCCGCTCCCGGGACGCTGACCCAGGCTCTCTCCGAGAGGCAGCAGCTCTTCCAACATGTGGCCCCCGCACAAGGCTGCGGTTCCTTTGGTTCAAGAGTGCACTCTGCGGGGAGACAGGCCTGCACCCGATGAGGCCTCCATGCCCTGCACGCTGTGCGGTCCCGGCCCGTTGGGTTAACCTCTTGGAACTTCCGTTTTCTTACCTGTAGAGTCCGAGCGGTTCCACTCAGGCTGTAGCCTGTCGCGAGGGCGAGGGGTAGGGTAACAGGAGCCCCCCAAGAGCTAATTCCTCGGCCGGGGTCCCGTCCCGCTCCCTCTGCGCGAGGGGCGAGGGGCCCTCTCTCCGGGGATCTCAGCGCACAAGGTCGCAGGTCGGGGCTCGGGGGCCTTGGAGTCAGCACTGCCTCCCCTCCCAGGGCCCCGGGGGTCTGGGAGAAGACCACTCGGGTGTTGTCTTTCTGAGGTGAATCAGAGGCACCAGGACGTCTGGCGAAGAACACTGAGTTTGTGACCAGAAACAGACTCAGAGGAGGGTTTGGGCCCGGATGTGTAAGTTTGTAAGAATCTGAGCGAAAGCTAAGATCTCGGGGACGGTGAGGCTCTGTGGGAGGAGCGAGGGGTGAGGCGGGAAGGGCCGAGGGTGGAGCCCCAGCCAGGCACGCGGTCGCGGTGGGGAGCAGCCTGCGCAGAGGGAGCTCAGCGGGAGCCCCGGCCCCCAGACCGGAGCCCATCGCCGCCTGAACCAGGTGGGGTGTAACCCACTGCGGTGAATCAACCTCCTTGTGATTATTTGGGAATTCAACACTCCTGCTGGTTAAGAACACATCCCCATTTGTCCTGAAAAACCCAAACCGACCCCCTCCCCGACAGTCCAGTTCCATTTGTCTCCTGCTTCAGGTGGTGAGGAAGTAGCTGTGATTATGTGAATTCGCCGCCCAGCCTCCCGCGGATGAAAGCAGCAGCTTTGTCGCAGCCACGCCGAAGGCTGGCCGCTGTGTCTCGTGCTTCTCTTTGCCCGGCTCCCGCTCTTTCGCTAGCACACGCCGCGACTTGAGAGTCCTGAGCAGGAGAAGCTGTGTAACGCCACCCGGCTCTCACCCGGCCTGAGTCAAGGAGCAGGGCTGTCCAGACAGAAAGCTTCACCTTCCCATTTCACGCTGCCCTGCTGTTGGAGCATTTAAACCTTGCTGAGTTTGAACAGTCAGGGCTCGGACGTGGGGCACCACCTCAAGTGTCCCACAGGCCGCGGAGGGCCAGCCTCCCCGGCACAGGCCTGCAGGCCCGCTCCCTCCCGGAAGCCAGCTCCACCCAGCCCTGAGAACACCCGCTCCAGGGCTGCTGGCTGTGGAAGGCGGCGTGCTGCATGCAGGTAGCGCCTTCTGTGACTCGGATGAAACAAAGAACAGAGGAAACAATCAAATCCCAGGAGCGGGTTTGCCTGGTTCAGAACAAGGCTCTCAGGTCGTAAGTCGGGACTTTGGAAGGCGCAGTGGACCCAGCCCCGTGGGACAGCGAGGCCCGTATCCCCGCAGTGGCTCCGGCCCACACCTGAGGGGTGGCTGCTCCGTGCTGGGCCGGATGTGAGGCCTTCAGAGAGCACAAGCCTCTGTCATTCATGTGCTAGTGCTCGCAGACAGACAGACAGACACCAGGCGGTATCTCTAATCAGTTACTACATGTGTCTCTCACACCTTCTGCACAAGGACGACGTTAACTGCCATCAGGAGTTTTTATCTTGTGTCCTACTGTGCCCTCCGGTCGAAGGGAAATTGCAGAAACACACACGGTATGTAAGAAAGTTACTGGGAATAAAAACATATGCTGTGAAAGGCTTTGGGGTGCAGATAAGTCAGGGGGTGTTTCTAGGAGCGATGTCCAGCGGGATGCACGGCAGGACCCGACACCAGCGCGAGGTCTGTGGTCTTGAGGGAAAGGAATTCCACGGAGATCGTGGGGCAGGGCTTTTGTTCCCATGGGCTGTGGCTGCTCTGCTGGCTTGGAAAGCCCGAGGGACGGGAGGGAGGAGCGGTGGGGGAGGGGGAAGGGGGAAACAGGCGGGGGCAGCGTGGTGGCCAGTCCAGCTGCGCTGGGTCCCCCGGGACTCAGCCACAAGGCCACTTCCAGATCAAGACTTCACTTCTGTGGGAGATAAACATCGAAATGGTGTTAAGGGTCTGAAACCAAACGTCATGAGCAACAACTCTGCTCTGGGCTTTACCTCTGCGGTGCCCTGGGTCACAGAGGCGTCAGACACGGGCAAGCCAGAGTCTTGTCAGCGGGTGTGGTTCTGACCCGCTTTGCAAACGGGATTCGTGTCCAGTAGCACCTGCGGGGCCCTCTCTCACAGCTTCTCCCTGTGTGTTACCTCTCAGCGTGGACCGCGTCTGTCCCAGCCCCCGGCGCCCCCCGCCTGGCACGGGTGGGCACAGGCTGGACCAGCAGCTGGATGGGGGGCCAGGAAGTCAGAAGTGTCTTGAAAACTCCGGATCAGGTGCTTACTAATGATGTCAGTGACATTTTTTAACAGCGCTGGGCAAGGAAAACTGTTATTTGACAAAGTAGGGTTAACTCTTTCTGTGATGTGCACACACACACGGTGCACCTTAAGCAGCTTGTGATTTTATTTGTCACTTATGTGTCAGTAAAGCTGGAGAAATGCTCACTTTTTGTGACAAGGCTTCCATTGGATCCCCCATGCGGGGACCCCACACGCTCAGGGGAAGCAGGTGGAACCCCCGACGGACACCCCATCATCCTCTCTCAGCAGGCCGGCTGCATGGGGGACGGGACGGCAAACACTCGCAGGAGGACCTCCCTCTCAGAGCCTCCTGACCAGGAGGCTGGCTGATCACCTCCGCCTTGGGAGTCACCACTGTCACCGTTGTGCTAACGGAGCAGGACTGGGTGAAGCCAAAGGCCCGCAGTTCCTGCCCCGCTGGAGGAAACTGGTCAGAGAATGTCCTTTCTGTGAAGCGTCCCAACCATCGCTCACACTGAACTGGCCTCTGGCTGCCAGATGCGTTCTTAGTGACCCCGCTGCCCACGAGGGCAGGAAGCCAGCACAGGGCTGCTCTGCTCCGGCTCCAAGGGTCTCGCTCAGCAGGGCCTTGCAGGTCCCGACAGCGAGGAGAGGAGGGCAGAGCCCCACTGGCCGCGGGTCTCCCTACAGCCGGAGACTTACTCTCACTGCCCTTGGAAGACCCGGAGGCCCAAGCAGAGCTGCTCTGAGTCTGCCGCCTCACAGACACCCACGGAACATCAGTCCGTATCACTGGGCAGGTGAGGAGGACCCAGCCTCGTCTGTGAGAAGAGACGGTGAGTCAGCCAAAGCTGATCCTGGCCCACTTCCTTTCCCTGCGCTCGCCCACAGGGCCTGCACACACAGGTCCCTCCCTCAGGAAGGGAGCCAGGTAGTCACTTCACGAGAGTGGTTTGCCTGCGACGGGGCCTCTCGGGCCGAGGTCTGCGCCCTGCCCCGTCCTCGAAACAGACCCGCCCCGCCTCTCTCCACGGCAGGAGCCCTGGGCCTCTGGTGTCCGCTCCTTCCTGCCCCCCAGGACACAGTCTCCATCACTGTGGCTGGTGTGAAGGATGAATTACAGCCCCAGAGATGTGCAGAGTCGAGTCCCCAGATCTGGTGACTGTCGCCTTGCACGGCGAGGAGACTCTGCAGAGATTGGACTAAGGGTCTGGGGGGGAGAGGTTATACTGGGCCATCTGTGCAAGCTCAAAGGCCACCATGGCATCCTTAGGCAGGAGGCAAGGGGACACTGGACAGCACAGAGAGGACGTGGTGCTCTGAGCGTGGAGATGGATGGCGGGGCTGGAGCCCAGGAGCCTGAGCTGTGGAAAGAGGAGGGAGGGGGGTTTTTCTACGGCCCAGGAGGCAGTACCTGGTTTTGGGCCCTCGACACAGAGTTTAGACATCCAGCTTCCCGGCTATTTGAATAAAACGTGGTTTGCAGCCAGCACGTCGCTAGCAGTTGATTCTGGCAGCACAGGAGCCTCGCGCAGGGACAGGTGTCGGCCAGGAGCTGCAAGTTTGGGTCTCGGCCTCCTTGGTGGCGACACATGGCCCTTGTACTGGGTTCTGATGGGGAAGATGCAGCTGCGAGCTCAGACCCCACTTCTGCCCGCTCCTCCTCTGGGCTCCGTCCCGCCGACTCATGCCCACCGAGAGGAACGGGGAGTCAAACTGGCAGCTCAGCAAGACTAGGTAAACCGGGAACAAAGCCCTGCGTCCCCAGCCGAGTGGGGCCACCTCCCCAGTGTCCTGGATTGAGGAGAAGTAAGCTGTGCTCTGTTGAGCAAGTGCTGTTTGGGCCTTTCTGTCGCCTCCTCTAACCACGGGTCAGAGACAGAGGTCATAGTTCTAACGGCACATCTTAGCCGTCTTCCCCGAAGGGCCCCATGGGCCAGCCCATGTCTCTGTCTCTTGGTCACTGAAACTTGCAGTGCAGAGTTCTCATCGCCTGGGCACGAGAAGGAGAGCAGTCTGCTCAGATTAATTCCCCATAAGGGGCGGCTGCCTCGGAACCGTCTCCTGGCTCACATCCGGGGAATAAGCACTTTCTAAATCGAAGGTGCCTCCCAGTTGCATATTTCAAGCTTTAAGATAAAATAAAAGGAGGTAGGACTGAGGCTTCGTCCCCGGTGGTCGAACTGTTGGGAGTGGCAGGTCGAGCTTCCTTTGCTTTTTTTGGGTGTTTGTAATCGCTTTTTCATTTCGTGTTCACTCGTACCTTTCTCAGTCTGTAACTCAGAGCTCAGCAGTGTTCTGTTGCGGTCTCAGCCCGAACACCCGAATGCTGCTCTCAGCACAGCCCTCCATGGAAGGAAATGCAGGGATTTGACTGTCGTCCACCAGAGCAGCTTAAAAATATAACAGTAGTGAGACTCATAAAGTCTAAGGTCATTGAATCGTGTTTTTCCTTCTGTTTATGGAACAAAGATTTCATTTGCTTTGATGAGTGAGTTTCCAAATACTCTGTCTTTGTGAAGCCAGTGGAAACGGAGTTACAAACGTTGGCGTCTGGCCGGTGACCCAGTACGTGTCCTTCTTGCCTGAGAGAAGGGCGGTGGGAGCTGGCCCCGAGCGCTGTGCTGTGGGGACGTTTTGAGAAATGCGTGGACAAGAAGGCAACATTTAATTGTGTTCAGCTTATCCTCCTGGTTGAATAAAGCTCCTGAGACACTTGTGAGAACAGATTCTGTGGCCTGGTTTTGTACCTTCCCGTCTTTAACTAGGCCAGGAGGAGATACATCTTTTTCCCTTTCCTCAGCGTCTTGGCAACGTCCCTTCCAGTTCCAGCCAAAATCTAGAAGTACGGAGAGGAGCGGCCGAGAAGAGGGGTTTCGGGATGTTTAATACTACGGAGCGGGTTGGCTCGAACTTGGAAATGAATAGTCAGCTCGAATCATTTTATCCGAGCAGTTCCAGCAGGTTTCACTGGCAGCCGTGGGGGAGGGCGACCGTGTCCTTGTCCCTTCAGGTGTCCTGAGCTCCCACGGGAGGGCATTTCCATGTCAGTGGAGTCCTGCAGACAGACGAACATGGCCTTTTCAGAAACAGGTTGAAGGGGGTCAGTATTTCCTAGTCAAATTTGATGTTTGAATTTTTGATAGATTGAGGTTATGGAGATTTTTAAAATGAATACTATTGCTCTGAGACTTTGTGTCTTGGAAAGAAACTTTAAATGTATCTTTAAAGACTGTGCAGGGTTCACCATTGGGAACGTGTCCTCTGAGCTTTGCTGGGAGCATGGGACCCAGGGCCCGGGGGTGCCTGGGAAGCTGGCGTTTTTAACCGGGGGCTAGGTTTTCAGGAGGGGTGTGTTGAACAAGGACCTTCTCGCTGTAAACCTCAAAAGGCTGAGGAAGAAATATTCAGCTGTGAAACCCTCAGAGCAGCTGGGTTGTGTGGGACGCGGTTGACAGTGAATTTGGCATCTGCCCAGATCTGCCGCTTCCTCCTGGGGCCCTGCAGTGGGCGAGGAGCCCGTCATCGCCCGAGGGTCGCCGGTGGACTCGTGGCTGCCTATCCCGTCCCAGAGCTGCAAGCCAGCCTGCCTGTCCCCTTGGCCTGCAGACACTGCTTCGTTGGGATGAGCCACTTCGTGAGAGCCACCTGGATGTTTCTGGGTCCGGGACAGAGGGAGCTCATTGCTGCTGGTGACACAGTTAACAGGTACATGGCCGTGGAGGTGTGGTGGCAGAAGAACCACCGTGTTCCCACGTGGCACCACGGCCTCAGCACAGCTGCTGTGCCATCGTCAGGGGTCCGGAGGGACTGAGGGGTCACACAGAGCCTTAGAGAACTGCTTGTGTCTGTGTGCAGAAGCCGACCAGCAACAGCAGTAGCATGGCGTCAGAACGGCTTTCTCAGAGATGCTTTTGGTGGCGGGCCCGGAGCACGATGGGGAGGTCCTCGGCACTGCCTCGCACCTGTGACACTCCCACAGTGTGGCTTGTGTCATTTTGAAGGATGCAGTTTTCCAATAATCAGTGTAATCTCTTGAGATACGTGGAGCACGTAGGTTTACCTTGCAAGGGCTCTGAGACGCCCTTTTCTGTTTAAACAGAAAAATCCATCCAGGCCTGGCAAGTTTGCCCACAGAGCAGCTGTGCTCTCTGCTAATGACGAGGTGAAGGATGGTCTGTGCACCTGACACATGGACACATCCCTTCTGACACAGGAAGTACTCAGTTTTTTGTTTATGTGAATAAATAAATGAATGGATGAACGGCTGTCGTGCAAGTGGGACCTGGAGGTAAAGGAAAGGGAGACGCTGGCTGAGGAAGGCAGCAGGTGTTCCTGGAGCAGGAACGTGGCAGGTGGGCAGGGCCTCCTTGGTGGTGGGGACGCAAATCCTGCACCGCTAATCCCCCTCCTGCTCTGAACATGACGGGGGCTGCAAACCCAGGGAAATGATCAGAGAGGGTACAGATGTCAACTGGTTCCATCCACAGAGTGGGTGGCAGCCAGTGCAGGTCTCTCTGCTGAGCAGGGTCCTGCAGTGAGCTCCCTGGCCCAAAGTCTAAAGGGGTATCTCCCCGTGGACCCCACACCCCACACCCACTCTCAGGGTTTTACTTCCTCCAAGGGGCTGCACTTCCCAGGGGACCAGAGTGTGCCTGGCTCACTGAAAGCGTGCTGTGCGTAGGAAGAGGAAACCGGGCAGGGTCTGGAGTGCAATGGGTGCCGGCGTGCTCCACGGAGCAGGAGGGAGAGCCACATGGGACGTGGAGTCTCCTGCATCCCCGGCCTCCAGACCCCACTGAGGGTGACGGTGTCAGGAGCCCTGGAGTCTGACCACATCTGCCCTTGGCGGGGAAAGGGCCGCCCTCCTTCCCACCAGACTGGATTTCTAACCATGCCCCTACTTTCTTCTCTGTCCCCTGGCTCGACGCTGCTTTGTCCTAGACCTTTTGGGTCACACAGGTGGGGCTGGGCATGTGGCCTCCCAGGTGATTCCACGTGTCAAGGATTGGTGACAAAATAAAGGTACAGTGTGGACCCAGAACCAGCATTTACAGTTCACTTGATGAGGAAACAGTGCTCCCCACAGTGGTTAAAACGCAGGGGTCTGGTAGTGTCCTTGTCCCCGTGCTCACAGGCGAGACCCCAGCTGTTCTGCTGGGGGGCAGCTCTCCTTCCTGAGCAGCAGGGCACAGCTGCCCCGACTCCCGCCCTTGAGCCCTGCTAGCCCTCCTGCCCCAGTTCTGGAGGGCCTGATGGAGGCCTTCAGCATGCTAGACAGAACGATCCTTCTTTCCTGCCTATTCAGTTCCAACCTCACCAAAGCTCTGAACTATCCCCTTGGCGTCCTCGTGCGGTGGTCACCGGCTCCCTTCCCTCGACGTCCACGGCGCAGGAGCGAAGGAGGCGGAGCCCCGTGGGCGCGGACCGCGGGGGCGGCGGGGACGCGGGCCTCAGCGGTGCGACCGCGAGACTGGCCTGTGGTTGGCGGAGTCGCGGAAGCTGCCGGCTCGGGAGGCTGCGCCCGGCCGCACAGGCCCCTGCGTCGGCCCGCGCTTGTCCGGAGGCTGCGCCTTCCTTCTCGCTTCTCCGACTGAAGCGCCGTCAGGGCGGGGCGGCAGCTTTGGTGCGCAGCGCGACGCCCCAGGCGTGCAGGTGCACAGGCTCGTTTTCAGGCTCTCTTTCAGGTCAGGTTGCTACAAGATGCTGAGTGTAGCTCCGCGTGCTCCACGGAAGTTTGCTTTTGTCTGTTTTCATACACAGTGGCCATCACTGAGGCTGCTAAGGGCACCTTCAGAGCACAGCTTCCGCAGTAACTGGACCACGTGCCGTGCCAGGCGCAGAGCACGGCAGTCACGGCATACCGTTAACTGAAATCTTCTTACATGTCTCGTGTCTTCAGTTTCATACAACGTATTTTACATAATCCTCAGAATAAATCTATTAGAGTCGTTATTTTGTGAGTATCTATCTGAGTACATCTGAGAAGCGGTGTGACCTGCTCGAGGTCTCACTGCTGGGACAGAGGTCCGGTGCCTCCCTGGCCGGGCCGCACGGACCTTGCACTTCGCAGAGACACCGCTCTTGGCTTATTAATTAGGAATAAAGAATGAAAGGTTTCCATTTGCAGCAACACGAATAGACTTGGAAGGTATTATGCTTAGTGAGATAAGTCACACAGAAAGACAAATACTGAAAAAAATAAACTAGTGACTATGACACAAAAGAAACAGGCTCGCAGAGACAGAGGACAAACTAGCGGTGACCAGCGTGGGGCGGGGCGGGAGGGGCGACTGCCGTGTGTAAGTCCCGCAGGCTGCGAGGGTGCGCGGCCCAGCACAGGCGCAGAGCCGGTGCCTTATAAGCACAGCCGGTGTTTTATAGCTACCCGTGGAGTATAATCTTTACAAGCTGTGAACCACTAAGTCTTACACCTGAAACATCGAATATGGTACGTCAACTGTATGTCAATTTAGAAAAAAGAAAAGGAAATTAAAAAAGAGAAGAAAAAATTGTTTGGGACTTTCCCTGTTCATGTGGCATGAAAAATTTACTCTTAGCATAAACAGCAAATAATTCCAAGGCGTATCCTACGGGAAACAATCATGTGGAAGAAGTGATGTCATTGCAGGGGATTCAAACGTCCCACGTCAGCTGGTTCCTAGAGGGTTGGTTCGTGAGAATTGGCAAAGAAACGAACCATGTCACCATGTTTTGATTTAACTCAATTTTGGGGTCATGTAGGAAGTTGCAAAACTAATAAGCCTAAAGAAAACAAATCAAACCGTAGTTTTTTATAGCCTCCTGAGTGAGTGGAAGCCAGGGAGGCCTCAGGTCAAACTGGGGTCAGCAGTGGGGAGGCGGTTCTGGGAGGGCCAGCCGCAGCAGCGCGGTGCTCGAAGGAACGGGGCAGCGGCGACAAGTCACGGAGGCGGCGTTATGTGGGGCTTAGTTCAGTGTTTCCAAAACACTGAGTTAGGTAAATGCCACTGAATAATATGCTTGAGCAAAAATTCCCTCTTTGCTGTTTGCTTCCAACTTGAACGCCGCCAGTCCACTTCCCCCGGCAGAACCCAGTCCCCTGCGGTTTCCTCCCGACGTGGCACTCTCTGGCCTGTCTCCCACACCAGTGGCAGCGAGGCGGGGGTTCAGAGGGGCCGACCTCCCACGTCCTGGGTGATGCCCACCCCAAGGTCTGGGGTCTGCCTTTCAGAGCTCGTGGCAGGAGTGAATTCGGAGCTGAGGTCCCGGGAATCTTCAGACGCCGTAGGGGGAACTCCTTGCAGCAGGGGACAAAGTGACTCCAGAAAGTCGGGCCATGCGTGTTGTTGGTCCTTCAAAGGATGTGTCTGTCAACACCCTCCCGGGGAGCCTCGGAGGGGGCTTTCCCTTCCAACGCGGTGTCACGGTGACGCTCTGATCTTGGACTATTCTGCACCACTTTCCATCTATTTGGCTGAAGGAATCTCGGAACTGTCGGCCGCCCGCCTCCTTCCCTCCTCCAGCCTCTCCGGGGTCCTCCTTTCCGGTTTTCTTCCTGGTTCTGACTCCTCTCACCCACCGAATGCTGGTTCCCCCAATTTTTTGTCTTCCATCTTGTCTTTTAAGTTCACTTCTCTTCGTGGATGAGCCAACAGCCCTCCCTTCTGAAGCCTGGCACCTTCCAGAGCAGCGTCCCCAGTGCCCGCCTCTTTCCTGAGTCCTGACTCACACGTCCAAGTCCCGAGCCTCTTGGTGCGGGAGGGGGGGGTCCTAATCCAGCATGTTCACCCACCAGCGCCCTGTCTTTATGCATGTCTTGGTGACATCACCCTCACTCCGTCTGGCGTCCACGGAAAGGCCCCCGACCTCTTCTTGCCTCCTCAGACCCCGCCCGCCCATCCATCACCAGGCAGGGGCTCCGTTCCCCCAGCCTCTGCAGCCCGGGTTCCCAGTCCCTCTGCTCCCAGCCTGGCAGGAGCCCTCAGGCCCCTTGCCCGCACGGACTGCGGCCTGCACCGCCTCCCTGCGTCTCCTGGTTCTCTCCCTGGCCGGTCAGCGCCCCCACCGTAGCCAGGATGCCCTTTCTATTTTGCAGAATTGCCCAAGCGATCGGTCTGGTTAAAAACTGCTGGTGACGCTCACACGTTGTTAGAGGACATTCTGCAGAGGGGAATTTGGTCAACTTTTCAAAGTGGAAAATTCACGCACCCCCGATCCAGTCCCCTGCGTCATCCCACAACGTGCGCAAGGTCACGGGGACAAGGGTGGCCTGGGGGAGGGTCGTGTACCTCAGCACCGGCTGGAAGCACCCTGAAGGACTGAGCAGGGACGCTCGCGAAGCTCGCTAAGCAGAGGACCACCCAGAGGTGAGCTGCCGGTGCCGGGCGGCGTGGCAGCCCTGTGCTGACCTGGGCGGGGCTCCGGACCCCCGCGCGCCCCCCAGAGCCTCACTCCACGTCCGGTCCGTGCTCCCTGCGCCCGTTCGGCGGTGCCTCCCGCTCCG